AATTTTTCATGTCTATTAAAAATTCAAACTGAACACGTGCCATATTTAAGGTTTCACCTAAGAAATGAAGTTGAGAACCTGAAGTATAAATGTTTCTACAGTAACCCATGCTTGAAAACTTGCCACATGCAGTGATGGGACAGGGAAGCTGGGATAGAGAAGGGACCACTATGACAAAGATAGTTGGAAATGGTCTCTCTGGAGAAGAACTGAGTGCTGAAAGGAAGTAAAGGGAAAAATATGATAACATTTCAGGAGAATTGAGGAGGGGGGAAGTGCTTTCCATAGAGGCAGACGGGCAGCAGGGGGCAGGGCAGGAAGGAAACTTCGGACTTTGGTGCTGGGAAACGTACACTGGTGAAGGGAGAGGTGATAGAACATTTTATCACTGAAACTCCCAAGTGCACAACTTTGTAACTGTGTATCTCACAGTGATTCAATAAAAATTAACCCCCCCCCCCAAGTTTCTACCATTCAGTGACAGGGAAAGATACCTCAGCAGATTATATTTTTATGAAATTATTCAGCTGGGAACAGGTGGTGGGAAGGAAAAGAAAATAGAGAAAAGAGGAGACAGTGGACAGAACATGGTACTGTGTTCATAAACATCAGGGAAATCCACTGGCATGGGGCATTGGAAATAGTGCCGGGAGGAGATGGGAGAGAACATGTCTGTGTGTGAGTCAAGTGTCCTGAGGCTGGAGCAGGCGTGAAAGGGCCCTGTGGAATTTGGCTGTTTCATTTGCTGAAGTGAAAGAACGTGAATCAGTGTTGCTATGCGAAGGAGAATGATGTCCAAGGCAGGGGCCTACCTTGAGGGTGGGAGTCCTCTCTCCTGCCGAGCACCCGGTGTGAGGAGCTTCCTCAGCTATATAGGAAGAGCCTCTCGATTCTCACTGAGCGAGTCTCAGGGTTCCCCAGAGTTAAGCACATTCTGCTCGATCTCTTGAATTGATGAAGTTCTGGCCCCTATATGTGTGATTCTCCTCAGAAAATGTAAGAACTTTTCTAAAGTGTGCTCTCTCTCCCTCCCCTCCCCTACCCCCTCTCATGCACACGCACATGCGAACAGGTGAATGTTCTTAGCTTTGATTCTCAATGCCTTTCCCACACATGTCAGCCTTCTTATTGGCCTCACCTGGATGGGCTCCCTGCGTCTTCCTTGGACATCGGATTCTTCTGTGGGTGTAGAGAGTGGGGACAAAATCCCCAACCTCAGACCAGTCTGCAGCAGGGAGAGAAACACCTGTCATCTGCCAGAATCAGGAATTAGCACACAAGGAGTCACAATGAGAAACAGGGATGAGATCTTCAGTGCTTTCTCGCTCCACCCATTTCTCACTCCTCCCTCTTGGTACCTCAGCCCCTGAGCCAGGCTTCCCCATGGGAAAACACTCTTGGACAGAGAGGAATTCTTCCTAATGAGTGTCTGTTCCCTCGGGAGCTCATCGGAGAACTCAAGTTTTCTTCCTCTTGCTCCACAAATTACCTCCTCGCCATGTCTCTAAATCTCCAGGCCCTACTTGGGTTTAATTTTTCTCCACAAATCAGCGGAAGAATACATCTGGATTAAGTCCTTTAATGCTTTAAAAGCATTGGCTCTTTAGTGGGGACAAGGCTCATGGAGGCTGTAAATATTTTCTCTACAATAGCAGGATATCTGAGTCGTCTCAGAACAAAACTTGGGCTTGCAAGTGGTGACTTTTGTGGCGTCTATGCTGGAAACAATGAAGAGGGGTGAGGGCGATAGGAGAGCGGGGAGGGAATTTGGCTTGCAAGTGTCGACCCAGGTACCATCCCCAGCATCCCATAGGGTTCCCTGAGCACCGCCAGAATGATTCCTGAGTGCAGAGCCAGGAGAAACCCCGAACATTGCTGGCTATGACACCAAAAAACAAAATGAAAAGAAAAGAAAGAGAAACATAAACAGCAAAAAATTTCATTCTTTAATATCATAAGAGAAAAAAATATTGTAAGAGAAAATCCTTTTTTTTGGCTTAATGTCCCAAACAAATGTAGTTCTTTCAACATCATTTATGAGCCTCTAAACTTAATCCTAGAAAGTCTTGTCCCAATAATCCTTTAGCGGAACAGAAGGAAATAAGGTGCTAGTGTCAAAAATTTGAAAAAGCTACACTTGAACCATAAGGCCCAAAAGGAAAGAGAGAGAGAGAGAGACAGAGACAGACAGAGAGACAGAGACAGAGAGAGAGACAGAGGGAGAGAGAAGAAAAGTGTCTGCCATAGAGGTATACTGAGGGGGGGTGGCGGGAGAAAACCGGGATCATTGTTGGTGGGACATGAACACTGGTGGAGGGATGGATAGTGGAATTGTGTGACTGAAACCCGATCATGAACCACTTTGTAACTGTGTACCTCGCAATGATTCAATAAAAACGAAGTCGGAAAAAAAAAATAAAAACTGGCAAAGCTTCATTTGTTGAGTCTGTTGATGGGGAACTGGCTTTGACGTGGGCCTGCATGGGACCAGCCACCCACACTGGCTTGAAAAGGACCCTGATTCCTCCGAGAGAAACTGAACCCGGGAAGTTGCGTGTGTTGATTTCTCAGCCACGCCTGACTGTGCTCAGGGATCACTCCTTGTGGTGCTTGAGGGACCATATGTGGTGCTGGGGATGGGACCAGATCTGATGCTAACAGAGCAAGTGCCCCATCCCCCTGCTCCCATGACCTATAGTTCCCTTTCCTCAACCTGGGATTTTTGTTTTTGTCTTTTGAGTCACACCTGGCGATGCTCAGGGGTTACTCCTGGCTCTGCACTCAGGAATTACTCCTGGTGGTGCTCAGGGGACCATAGGGATGCTGGGAATTGAACCTGGGTCAGCCGCGTGCAAAGCAAATGCCCTACCCTCTGTGCTATTGCTACAGCCCCTCAACCTGGGATATTTTGATATTAGTTTTATTAGAGTTTTTTTTCAAAGTTCTAATATCGGAAAATTCGATAATAAGTTTTTGGAATGATGGTGGTGGTGATGGTTGGGGCCACCACTGGCAGTGCTCAGGGCTTACTCCTGGCTCTGTGCTCAGGGATCACTCATGCAGGCCTCGTGGAACCATTATGTGTGGGCAATTGATCGTGGCCAGCCCTATGAACAGTAAGTTCCCTAGCTGATGTAGTACTCTATTGCCTCCGAAGATATATGTTTTAGCTTGTCTGCTTTTTGGGGGGCTACTTCGGTGATGCTCAGGGTTTAGTCTTGACTCTGTGCGCAGGAATCACTCCTGGAAGGGGTGGGGGAACCCTAGGGGTGCTGGGGATTGAACCCAGGCTGGACACAGGCAAAGTCCAAATGTCCTCCCAGCTGTGCTATGTCTCTGCCCCCAGATAATGTGTATGTGTGTTATTTTTTAAATTTGCTTCTTGGGCCACAGGTAGTGATGCTTAGGGTTGACTCCTGGCTCTGCACTCAGGAATTACTCCTGGGAGTGCTTTGGGAACCCTATGGGATGCCAAGGATTGAATCCTAGTCAGCTGCGTGCAAGGCCAATGCCCCCCCGATGGACTATCACTCTGGCCAATATATGTTTTTAAAATATCAAATACTGTGAAAATACATCCAATAGCCTGGTGAATGTAATAGATAAATATTTATTTACAAACAATTATGTAAGGGGACTATGTTTAGGTCTCTCCTAACTTTAATTTCCCTGCACAATTCACAAGGAGGGCTCTTTATGCATAAAGAAGACAGAGTACCATTTGTGGAGTATAAAACAACATAACATGAGACTGACTCCTAAGGTAGTAGATACATGGGACAGGAAGATTGCTCCCTAGCTGGAAGCCTGCGTCATGAGCAAAGGGGAGAAGGCAGCTGGAATAGAGAAGGGATCACCAAGAAAATGATGGCTTCAGGAACCGGTTGGGATGGGAGATGTGTGATGGGCGATGTGTGCTGAAGGTAGACAAAGCTCCTTATGTGATAACCTCTCAGTGTCTGAATTGCAAACCCTAATGCCCCAAAGTAGAGAGAGACTGTGGGGAATATTGTCTGCCATGGAGGCAGGGAGATATTGGTGGTAGGGAATGTGCACTGGTGGAGGGATGAGTGTTTGATCATTATTTGATTGTAACCCAAACATGAAAGGTTATAACTATCTCATGGTGATTCAATAAAGTAAAAATAAATAAACATTCAAAAAAAAAGAAAAAAAAAGAAGACAAAGTATATGGAGAACTGTGGCCACTTTATTATGAATTATTTGAGGACAGAAGAAACCAAAACTACATACAGCATCACATACCAGCCTTATAGAGACTCAGCACTGTGGTAGAGATCAGCAGAGCCCAGAAACCCCCTCCACATCATGCGTGTAGTAATCAAAGCTTTAGATGAAATCCTGGGCTTCTCACTGTGCTTGGTGTCCAGCAGGAAAGAACTGGACCAGAAAGTCCAAGGAAACCAAGGTGGGAACTATGAGGATAAGCCCTTAGGAGCATTTGCACATAGCGATGGAGTCAGCTTTTGTAGTTTCTGTGTTATTTCAAAAAATGATATCTCATCATCCTTGGGGATTTATTCTAAAGGCATTTATTTATATATGCTATATTTGGGTAGGAAAGCTGGGCAGAACATAACCAACATAACTGTTCATTGTAAGAAACAGCCAGGAGAAAACTGCCAGATGCTAGAAAGAGACTAAGGCTTAAGAGGAACAACATACACTGGATAATTTGAAGCGAAGAAAATAAAATTCCAGGACTGGAGAGATCCTACAGCAGGTAGGGTTCTTGACTTGTGCGTGACCAACCCATGGTTTACTCCCAGGAATCCCATATGCTTGGGTGAGCACCAGAAGGAGAGGATTTTTGAGTGCAGTAAGCTTGGAGCATCATCAGGTGGGACCCAAAAACTGAAAGGAAAAAAAAAGAGAAGGAAACTCCAGACAATCAAGGGAAGAGCTAGTCGTATGTCCAGTGTCTGAGCAAAGAGTCCTGAGTTCTTAGTCAAGCTCAGAGCTGTGATCCCAGGAAGTCTTCAGTGAAGGACAATTGACCGTTTTGCAGTTCCCTGCACAAAAAACATTTTCAGGGCCCTCTTGATGTCTTTGTTCCGGAGGCTGTAGATGAAGGGGTTCAGCATGGGGGTGACCACCATGTACAGCACAGAGGCCACTGCACTTGGATATGCCCTTTCACTCACCGTGGAGCTCATGTACACCCCCATGCTTGTGACATAGAACAAGGAGACCACGGCAAGGTGGGAGGCACAGGTGGAAAAGGCTTTGTACCTACCCTGAGCAGACGCCATGCCACGGATGGAGGAAATGATCTTGGAATAAGAGTAAATAATACCGAGTAAAGGACCCATGCCCACCAGGAAAACAGCACAGTACATGACCAGGTTATTCAAGAAAGTGTCAGAACAAGCAAGTTTGATCAGCTGGTTGAGTTCACAGAAAAAGTGAGGGATCTCCACCTCGGGGCAGAAGGACAGATGCAAGAACACCGAGATTTCCATGGAAGAATTCAAGAGACCCAGGACCCAGCACCCCAGCAGCAGCAGCCCACAGAGGCGGGGGTTCATGATGACCGTGTAGTGCAGGGGGTGGCAGATGGCCACGAAGCGGTCATAGGCCATCACAGTCAAGAGGAAGTCATCGAGACTTATGAAGAGGACGTAAAAAAATATCTGGGTGATGCAGCCTTCGTAGCTGATGGCTTTCCTTTGTGTCTGGATGTTCTGTAGCATCTTGGGAATGGTGGTGGAGGTGAAGCTGATATCCACTAGGGACAGGTTACAGAGGAAGAAGTACATGGGGGTGTGGAGGCGGGGGTCTGAACTGGCGGCCAGGATGATGAGCAGGTTCCCCATGACCGTGGTCAGGTACATGGACAGGAAGATCACATAGATGAGGGGCTGGACTTCTGGCTCCTGGGAAAGTCCCAGGAGGAGAAACTCTGACATGTGGGTGTCGTTTTCTGCTGCCAGAGGCTGGGTATAACTCCAGGAAAGAGGGACATGCATGACTCGATTTCACCTCGCTGCCTTAGTAACAGATCTGAAAAAATACGATGCACATTTTGAAATCAAGAAATAGTATGGGATCTTGAAGAATTTTTTTTCTTTTTGGGTCACACCAAGTGATGCACAGGTGTTACTCCTGACTCTGCACTCAGGAATTACTCCTGGAAGTGCTCAAGGGACCATATGAAGGCTGCAATCGAACCCAGGTCTGGGCTGTGTGTATGGCAAATGCCCTACCCGATGTACTATTGCTCCAGCCCCGTATCTTGAAGAATTTTTAAGAACCATTCATTCATGCCCCTTCTTGAAATTTTCCAGGTCACCTCTTAGATAAATTTGCATCCCAAGTAAATTATTCTCTATAGAGAGTTTGCAGAAGAATTTTTCATGTCAAATCAGGGGCTGGAGCGGGTAGGGCATTTGCCTTGCATGCGGCCGACCTGGGTTCGATTTCTCTGTCCCTCTCAGAGAGCCCGGCAAGCTACGGAGAGTATCCCACCTGCATGGCAAAGCCTGGCAAGCTACCCATCATATGCCAGAAACAGTAACAACAAATCTCACAATGGAGATGTAACTGGTGCTCGCTGGAGCAAATCCATGAACAATGGAAGGACAGTGCTACAGTGTTATTGAAAAATCAAACTGAAACCGTGCCATATTTAGGGTTTCACCTAAGAAATGAAGTTGAGAACCTGAAGTATAAATATTTCTACAATGACCCATGCTCGGAAGTTTGCCACATTTGGTGATAGTGGGAGGGCAGCTGGGATAGAGAAGGGACCACTATGACAAAGAGAGTTAGCAATGATCACTCTGGACGAGAACTTAGTGCTGAAAGGAGGTAAAGGGACAAATATGATAAACTTTCAGGATATGGATTGCAAACCATAATGCTACAAAGGTTGGAGTTGTGGGGGTGGGGAATGCTTTTCATGAAGGCAAACTGGGGCACTGGTTGCAGGGCAGGAGGGAAACTATGGACTTTGGTGCTGGGAAACGAACACTGGTGAAGAAACAGGTGATGGAACATTTTCTCACTGAAACTCCCAAATGAACAACTTTGCAACTGTGTATCTCACAGTGATTCAATAAAAATAAAAAACCAGCCAACCCCGCCCCCCCAAGTTTCTACAATTCAGTGACAGGGAAAGATACCTCAGCAAATTTTATTTTTATGAAATGATTCAGCTGGGAACAGGTGGTGGGAAGGAAAATAAAATAGAGAAAAAGGAGACAGTGGACAGGACATGGTATTGTTTCCAGGGACATCAAGGAAGTCCACTGACATGGGGGCACTGGACAGAGTGCCCGGAGGAGATGGAGAGGACAGGTTTGTGTGTGAGCCGAGTGTCCTGAGGCTGGAGCAGGTGTGAAAGGGCCCTGAGGAACTTTGGAATTTCATCTGCTGAAGTGAAAGAACGTGAATCAGTGTTGTTATGCAAAGGAGAATGATGGCCAGGGCAGGGGCCTACCTTGAGGGTGGGAGTCCTCTCTCTTCCTGTCGAGCACCAGGTGTGAGGAGCTTCCTCGGCTGTAGGAGGCGTCTCTCGGTTCTCACTGGGTGAGTCTCAGGGTCTCCCAAAGTTAAGCACATTCTCCTTGATCTCTTGAATTAATGAAGTTCTGGCCCCTGTATGTGTGATTCTCCTCAGAAAATGTAAGAATTTCTCTGAAGTGGGGCCGGAGTGATAGTACAGTGGGTAGGGTGTTTGCCTTGCACTTGGCCAACCCGGGTTCGATTCCCAGCATCAATATGGTCCCCTGAGCACCACCATTCCTGAGTACAGAGCTAGGAGTAACCCCTGTGCATCACCGGGTGTCACCCAAAAAACAAAGAAAAAAAAAGGAATTTCTCTGAAGTGCTCCCTTCCTCCCTCTTCCTCTCTCTCTCTCTCTCCCTCCCTCCCTCTCTCTCTCTCTTTTTATCTCTCTCACTCTCTCTCACGGACACACACACACACATACACCCTAACAGGTGAATGTGAATGTTCTTAGCTTTGATTCTCAATGTCTTTCCCACACATGTCAGTCTTCTTATTTGCCTCACCTAGATGGGCTCCCCGACCCTCCCTTGGACATCCAGATTCTTCTGTGGGTGAGTGCGGTGGGGACAAAAACCCCGACCCCAGACCAGTGAGCAGGAGGGAGAGAAACACCCGTCGTCTGCTAGAATTAGGAATTAAACTCACATCAACACAGATCCTTTGCTCCCAGCCCACATCGAGTCACAATGAGAATCAGGGATGCGATCTTCAATGCTTTCTGCATCCACTCATTACACTCAACTCCCTCTTGGTACGTCAGCTCCTGAGCCAGGCTGCCCTGTGTGAAAACACTCCTGGACCGAGAGGAATTCTTCCTAATGAGTGCCTGTCCCCCTGGGAGCTCATCGGAGAACTCGTTTTCTTCCTCTCGCTCCACAAATTACCTCCTCCCCACTAAGACTCTAAATCTCCAGGCCCTACTTGGGTGTAATTTTTTTTTAAATTTATTGATTCACTGTGGGATATTGTCACAACCTTTAATGTCTGAGTTACAATCACACAGTGATCAAACACCCATCCCTCCACCAGTGCACATTCCCCACCACCAATATCTCCAGTATGCCCCCACCCTTCCCACCCTCTCACTGCCTCCATGGCAGACAATATTCCCCAATCTCTACTTTTGGGCGTCATGGTTTGCAGTGCAGATACGGAGTGGTTATCATGTTTGGTCCTTTATCTACTTTCGGCACACATCTCCCATCCTGACCTATTCCTCCAACCATCATTTTCTTAGTGATTCCTTCTCTCTTGCAGCTGTCCTCTCCCCGCCTGCTCATGAGGCAGGCTTCCAACCATGGAGCAATCTTCCTGACCCTTCTATCTACTGTCCTTGGGTGCTGGTCTCGTGTTATGTTATTTTATACTCCACAAGTGAGTGCAGTCCTTCTATACCTGCACCTCTCTTTCTGACTCATAGCCATAATCTGGAAAAAATCTGAGTGCCCAAGAACAGATGACTGGTTAAAGAAACTTTGGTACATGTACACAATGGAGTACTATGTAGCTGTTAGAAAAGATGAAGTCATGAAATTTACATACAAGTGGTACTACATGGAAAGTATCATGCTAAGCGAAATGAGTCAGAAAGAGAGGGATAGACATAGAAAGATTGCATTCATCTGGGGAACATAAAGTAACAAAATAGGAGACTAACACCCAAGAGTGGCTGAAATTAGTACCAGGAGGTTTGCTCCATGGCTTGGTAGGGGGAAAGGGAGCTCAGATAGAGAAGGTAGCACTAAATAAAGGGTGTTGGGAGGATCCTCCCAGGATGGGAGAAGCATGCTGAAAGTAGACTATAGACCAAACATGATTGCCACTCAATGCCTCTTTTGTAAATCACAACACCCAAAAGGAGAGAGAGAACAAAAGGGAATGCCCTGCCACAGAGGCAGGGTGGGATGGGGGATGGGAGTGGGAGGGATACTGTGGTGGAAAATGGGCACTGGTAGAGGGATGGGTATTTGATCATTGTATAATTGAAACCCAAGCACAAAAATTTGTAAGTCTACAACTATACCTCATGGTATTTCACTAATGAAAATTAAAATATATATATATGTTTTAGCTTGCCTTGAGCTTGTTTGGAGACATCCATGACATTGGCAACTATCGCCCGATCTGCCTATTGTCTGTCATCTACAAGTTGTTCACTCGAGTCATCCTGAATAGGATTGGCAGAACACTAGATGAAGGACAACCATGTGAGCAAGCAGGGTTCCGCAAAGGATTCAGCACCATCGACCATATCCACACGATAACCAAACTCATTGAGGTTTCTCGGGAGTTCAAGATGCCGCTCTGCTTAACGTTCATTGATTTAAAGAAGGCCTTTGATTCTGTTGAGACGGAAGCGGTCATTGAAGCCCTAGCCAATCAGGGCATTCAAGCCCAATACATCAGGATCCTCCGTGAGCTCTATTGCGGATTCACTACCAGGATCTCACCATTCTACAAAGAAGTGATCGTTGATGTCAAGAGAGGGGTGCGGCAGGGTGATACCATTTCACCAAAACTCTTCAGTGCCACCCTCGAGAACATCATGCGACGACTGGAATGGGAAGGTATGGGAGTGAAGATAGATGGTCGGCAACTACACCACCTCCGCTTTGCTGATGACATTGTTTTAATAACACCAAACATCAGCCAAGCGGCACAAATGCTGGCCGACTTTGACCGTGAGTGTGGAAAGGTAGGACTACAGCTGAATCTTACGAAGACAATGTTTATGAGAAACAGCCTTGTTCCTGACGCCCCGTTCGCTCTCAATGGAACGACCATCTCCGAATGCAACAGCTATGTGTACCTAGGTCGAGAGGTCAACATGACAAATGACCTGGCACCCGAGCTGCGCAGGAGGAAGAGAGCGGCTTGGAACGCCTTCAAGAACGTCGAAGAAATAGCTAAGAGGACGAAGAACCTCCGGCTCCGGGCACATCTCTGATTCCACTGTTCTTCCTGCATTAACATATGCCTCAGAGACCTGGGCCCTACGCAAACAAGATGAGAACGCCATTCAGGTCTCCCAAAGAAGAATAGAAAGAGCTATGCTTGGAATATCACGTTTCACTCAAATGAGAGAACGAATCCGGAGTTCTGACATCCGTAGACGATCAAGGATCAGGGACGCTGTCTCATTTGCCAAGGTGTCGAAAATCAGATGGGCTGGTCACGTAATGAGATTTAAAGACGACCGTTGGACTAGAGCTGTTACTGATTGGATTCCACGGGATGTCAAGAGACCGCGTGGCCGCCCACCTACCAGATGGTCAGACTTCTTTGTCAAGGTCATGAACGATCGGTTTGAGGCCCTCCATGTTCCCGGAGCGAAGAGATGCCATTGGGCTACACTAGCACGCGACAGGGACAAATGGAGACGTTACTGGCGCCCGCTCGAGCAAATCGACGACTAACGGGAAGTTAAGTGATTAAGTGATTTAGCTTGCCTGCTTTTTTGGGGGGCTACTTCAGTGATACTCAGAGTTTAGTTTTGGTTCTGTGCTCAGGGATCACTTCTGGAAGGGGTTGGAGAAGCCTATGGGATGCTGGGGATCAAACCCAGGAAAGACAAATGTCCTCCCAGCTGGGCTATGTCTCTGCTCGCAGATAATGTGCGCATGCGCCCGTGTGTGTGTGTGTGTGTGTGTTTGTGTGTGTGTGTGTTTTAAATTTGCTTCTTGGGCCATGCCCGGTGATGCTCAGGAGTTACTCCTGGCTCTGCACTCAGGAACTACTCCTGGCGGTGCTCTGGGAACCCTATGGGATGCCAAGGATCGAGCCCGAGTCAGCCTTGTGCAAGTCCAATGCCCTCCCCGATGTACTATCGCTCTGGCCAATATATGTTTTTAAAATATCAAATACTGTGAAAATACTTCCAATAACCAGGCGAATGTAATAGATAAATATTTATTTACAAACAGTTATGTAAGGGGACTATGGTTAAGCCTCTACAAACTTTAATTTCCCTTCACAATTCACAAGGAGGCCTCTTTCTACGTAAAGAAGACAAAGTACATGGGGAAGTGTGGTCAGTTTCTTATGAATTGTTTGAGGACAGAAGAAACCTCCATTATGCACAGCATCAAAGAGAGTCTTATATTCAGCACTGTGGTAGACCCGAGAGAACCCAGTAGAGCCCAGAAACCCACTCCACATATGTGTGTAGTAATCAAAGCTTTAGATGAAATTCTGGGCTTCTCACTGTGGTTGGTACCTGGCAGGAGAGAACTGGACCGGATGGTACAAGAAAACCAAGGCGCGAATTATGAAGTTAAACGCTTAGGAGTGTTTGCACGTATCTATGGAGCCAGCTTTGATAATTTCTGTGTTATGTCAGAAAATGACACTTCCTCAACCTTAGGGATTTATTCTAGAGGCAGGTATTTATATGCACATAAATATTTGGGTAGGAAAACTGGGAAGAACATAACCAACATAACTGTTCAGTTCAAGAAACAATCAAGAGAAAACCATCAGATGCTAGAAAGAGCCTAAAGCTTTTAAGGAACGACATACACTGGACAATTTGAAGCCAAGAACATAAAATTCCAGGGCTGGAGAGATTCTACAGCGGGTAGGACGCTCGCCTTCCACGTGGCCAACCCAAGGTCTATTCCCTAGAATTCCATATGTTTGGGTGAGCACCAGCAGGAGGGGATTCCTGAGTGCAGAGCCGGGAGTAAGCCTGGAGCATCGTCAGGTGGGACCCAAAAACTGAAAGGAAAAAACAAGAGAGGAGGAAATTCCAGAGATTATAGGGAAGAGGTAGTCATGTGTCTAGTGTCTGAGCAAAGAGTCCCGAGTTCTTAGTCAAGCTCAGAGTGATCCCAAGAAAGTCTTCAGTGAAGGACAATTGACTGTTTTGCAGTTCTTTGCACAAAAAATTGTTTTCAGAGCCCTCTTGATATCCTTGTTCCGGAGGCTGTAGATGAAGGGGTTCAGCATGGGGGTGACCACTGTGTACAGCACAGAGGCCACTGCACTTGGATATGCCCTTTCACTCACCACGGAGCTCATGTACACCCCCATGCTTGTGACATAGAACAAGGAGACCACGGAGAGGTGGGAGGCGCAGGTGGAAAAGGCTTTGTACCTGCCCTGAGCAGACACCATGCCACGGATGGAGGAAATGATCTTGGAATAAGAGTAAATAATACCAAGTAAAGGACCCCCGCCCTGTAGGAGAGCAGCACAGTACATCACCAGGTTATTCAAGAAAGTGTCGGAACAAGCAAGTTTTATCAGCTGGGCGAGTTCACAGAAAAAGTGAGGGATCTCCACCTCGGGGCAGAAGGACAGACGCAAGGTCACTGAGATTTCCATGGAAGAATTTAAGAGACCCAGGACCCAGCACCCTAGAACCAGTAGCCCACAGAGGCGGGGGTTCATGATGACCGTGTAGTGCAGGGGGTGGCAGATGGCCACGAAACGGTCATAGGCCATCACAGTCAAGAGGAAGTCATCGAGACATATGAAGAGGACGAAAAAGTATATCTGGGTGATGCAGCCTTCGTAGCTGATGGCTTTTGTTTGCAGCAGGATGTTTTGCAGCATCCTGGGGACGATGGTGGAGGTTAAGCAGATGTCCACCAGGGACAGGTTGCAGAGGAAAAAGTACATGGGGGTGTGGAGGCGGGGGTCTGAGCTGGCGGCCAGGATGATGAGCAGGTTCCCCAAGACCGTGGTCAGGTACATGGACAGGAAGATCACATAGATGAGGGGCTGGACTTCTGGCTCCTGGGAAAGCCCCAGAAGGAGAAACTCTGACACGTGGGTGTTGTTTTCCACTGCCATAGGCCGGGTCTAACTCCAGGAAAGTGGGACACACACCCTCAATTTCACCTCGCCTGCCTTGCCCACAGATCTGAAAAACTGCAATGCATGTTTTGAAGTCAAGAAATAGTATTGGAATTTGAGGACTTTTTAAGAATCATTCACCCATGCCCCTTCTTGAAATTTCCCAGGTCGCCTCTTAGATGAATTTACATCACAACTAAATTATTCTCTATAGAGAGTACGCATAAATTTTTTTATGTCTATTAAAATTCAAACTGAACACGTGCCATGTTTAAGGTTTCACCTAAGAAATCAAGTTGAGAACTTGAAGTATAAATGTTTCTACAGTAACCCACGCTTGGAAACTTGCCACAAGTGGTGATGGGGGGAGGGCAGCTGGGATAGAGAAAGGACCACTATGATAAAGACAGTTGGAAATGATGAGTCTGGGCAAGAACTAAGTGCTAAAAGGAGGTAAAGGGACGAACATGATAACCTTTTCGGGAAGGGAAGGGGGGAAAGTGCTTTCCATAGAGGCAGACTGGGGCAGTGGGGGGCAGGGAAATTGGGAATCGGGGAAATTGGGGACTTTGGTGCTGGGACCGGTCATGGAATATTTAATCACTGAAACCCCCAAATGAACAACTTTGTAACTCTGTATCTCAGAGTGATTCAATAAAAATTAAAAAATAACCAACTGCTTCCCCCCACAAAGTTTCTACAATTCAGTGACAATTATATATGTATTTTTAAATTAAAATTATTTATTGATTGAGATTCTGTGGTTTCAAATACTATTAATGTTGGCTTTTTTTTAAGAACCTTTTAAAAATTTTTGTTGATTCATCGTGAGATATAGTTACAAGTTTTCATGTTTGGGTTACAATCACACAGTGATCAAACACCCATCCCTCCACCAGTGCACATTCCCCACCACCAATATCCCCAGTGTACCCCCACCTTTCCCACCCTCTCACTGCCTCCATGGCAGACAATATTTCCCATACTCTCTCTCTACTTTTGGGCATTATGGTTTGCAATGCAGATACTGAGTGGTTATCATGTTTGGTCCTTTATCTACTTTTGGCACACATCTCCCATCCTGACCTATTCCTCCAACCATCATTTTCTTAGTGATCCCTTCTGTATTCCAGCTGATCTCTTCCTGCCTGCTCGTGAGGCAGGCTTCCAACTACGGAGCAATCTTCCTGACCCTTCTATCTACTGTCCTTGGGTGTCGGTCTTGTGTTATGTTATTTTATACTCCACAAATGAGTGCAGTCCTTCTATATCTGTACCTCTCTTTCTGAATCATTTCTCATAGGGCAAATTACATTCTTATGAAATGATCCAGCTGGGAACAGGTGGTAGGAAGTAAAAGAAAATAGAGAAAAAGGAGACAGTGGACAGGACATGGTATTGTTTCCATGTACATCAGGGAAGTCCACTGACATGGGGGTATTGGACAGAGTGCCTGGTGGAGATGGGAAAGAACATATATGTGTGTGAGCCGAGTGTCCTGAGGCCAAAGCAGGCATGATAGGGCCCCGAGGACCTTGGGTGTTTCAGTTGCTGAAGTGACTCATGTTGCTATGTGAAGGAAAATGATGGCTAGGGCAGGGGCCAACCTTGAGGGTGGGAGTCCTCTCTCTTCCTGCCGAGCGCCCGGTGTGAGGACCTTCGTCAGTAGGATGAGTCTCTCGGTTCTCACTGAGCTAGTCCCAGGGTCCCCCAGACGTAAGCACATTCTCCTTGATCTCTTGAATTAATGAAGTTCTGACCCCTCTATATGTGTGATTCTCCTCAGAAAATGTAGGAATTTCTCTGAGGTGCTCTCTCTCTCTCTCTCTCTCTCTCTCTCTCTCTCTCTCACACACACACACACACACACACACCTCCCTAACAGGCGAATGTTCTTAGCTTTGATTCTCTATGTCTTTCCCACACATGTCAGCCTTCGTATTGGTCTCACCTGGATGGGCTCCCTGAGTCTCCCCTGGACATCTGGATTCTTCTGTGGATGCAGAGAGTGGAGAGAAATAGTGCTGACACCAGACCAGTGAGCAGCAGGGAGAGAAACACCTGTCGTCTGCCAGAATTAGGAATTAACCCCACATCAACACAGATCCTTTGCTCCCAGCCCACATGGAGTCACAGTAAGAAACAGGGATGTGATCATCAATGCTCTCTCCATCCACTCATTATACTCAACTCCTTCTTGGTACCTCAGCCCCTGATCCAGGTACCCCATGGGAAAACACTCCTGGACAGAGAGGAATTTTTCCTAATGAGTGTTTATTCCCCTGGGAGCTCATTGGAGAACTCAAGTTTTCTTCCTCTTGCTCCACAAATCACCTCCCCACTACACTCTAAATCTCTAGGCCCTACTTGGGTGTAATTTTTCTCCACTAATCAGCTGAAGTTTAAGTTTAATCATCTGGATTAATCATCTTTGAAGCTCCAAAGCATTGGCTTTTTGGTAGGGACAAGGCCTCATGGTGCCAGTAGAAATTTTCTCTACAATAGCAGGACATACAAGTCGTCTCAGAAGAAAACTTGTGCCTGCAAGTGGTGGCTTTTGTAGCGTCTATTATGGAAACAATGAGGATGGGCCAGAGCGTGATAAGGTATAGAAGGACTGCACTCTCCTTTAATTTAGGAGAGTGGAGAGGGAATTTGCCTTGCCTGTGGCTGAGCCAGTTTCAATCCCAGCCTCCCATAGGGTCTCCGGATCACCGCCAGGAGTAATTTCTGAGTGCAGACCCAGGAGTAAGCCCTGAGCATCGCTGGTGTGACATGGAAAAAAAAGTATGAAAGAATGAGGAATTTTGTTCTTCAATATCACAAGAGTAAAAAAGCCTTCCACTGGTGGAGGGATGGGCATCTGATCATTGTATAATTGAAATCCAAGCACAAAAAATTGTAAGTCTACAACTGTACCTCATGGTGTTTCACTAATAAAAATTTTAAAAAAATGAAGCAAAGGGGAAGCAAAAGAATAAAGTGCATATATAGATATTTTTACCACCTCTTAAAAAAATGAAAACTCTAGTCATTAATACATAACAATATTTTATATAACTATAAAGTTTCTTGCCACTCTAGGCTAATTTCAAGGAAACATAAGAAATGGTTGTCTGAAATAATCATGGAACTTTCCTTCAAATATATATTCATATAACAGACTAACAAATGCTACAAAGATTGTTTGACTGTTTCTGTTTTATTTAAAGGGGAGGGGCACTCCTGTAAGTGGTTCAATGCTAGGATCTGAAGATGCAATTCTTTAGTAAAAAAGGTTTTTTTCTATTAAAGAAAAAGAGTAAAAAAGGTTTTTTTTCTATTAAAGAAAAAGAGTAAAGCCTTACCTTTTTTTTTGGGGGGGGGGTTAAATGTCCCAAAAAATGAAGTCCATTCAATGTCCTTTTATGAGCCTCTAAACTTAGTCCAAGAAAGCCTTGTCCCAATAATCTTTTAGCGGAATAGAAGGAAATAAGGTGCTAGTGTTAAACATTTGAAAAAGCTGCACTTGAACCATAAGGCCCAAAAGGAAAGAGAGAGAGAGAGAGACAGAGACAGAGACAGAGACAGACAGAGAGACAGAGACAGAGAGACAGAGACAGAGAGAGAGACAGAGGGAGAGAGAAGAAAAGTGTCTGCCATGGAGGTAGACTGATGGGGGTGGCGGGAGAAAACCGGGATCATTGTTGGTGGGACATGAACACTGGTGGAGGGATGGATAGTGGAATTGTGTGACTGAAACCCAATCATGAACCACTTTGTAACCGTGTATCTCACAGTGATTCAATAAAAACAAAATGGAAAAAAAAATGGCAAATCTTCATTTATTGAGTCTGATGATGGGTAACTGGCTTTGACGTGGGCCTGCCTCGGGCCAGCCACCCACACTGGATTGAAAAGGACCCTGATTCCTTCAAGAGAAACTGAACCCGGGAAGTTGCGTGTGTTGATTTCTCAGCCATGCCTGACTTTGCTCAGGGATCACCGCTTGTGGTGCTCGAGGGACTGACCACATGTGATGCTGGGGATGGGACTAGAACTGATGGTAACAGAGCATGCACACCGCCCTCACCCCCCAGCCCGCCTCCTCCCGCTGTCCTATTGTTCCTTTCCCCCACCTGGAATATTTTCGTATTAGTTTAATGACAGTTTTTTTTAATGTTCTAACATAAGAACATTTGATAACATTTTTCCGGAGTGACGGTGGTGGTGGTGGTGGTTTGGCCACCACTGGCAGTGCTTGGGGCCTACTCCTGGCTCTGTGCTCAGGGGTCACTCCTGACAGGGGTCGAGGGACCATATGTGTGGGCGACTGACCGTGGGTGAGACCCGTGAAAGGCAAGATCCCTAGCTGATATAGTACTCTCTTGCCTCAGAAAATAGATGTTTTAGCTTGCCTGCTTTTTGGGGGGCTACTTCGGTGATGTTCAGGATTTAGTGTTGGTTCTGTGCTCAGGGATCACTCCTGGAAGGGGTTGGGAACCCTATGGGGTGCTGGGGATCGAATCCTGGCTGGCCACATGCAAGACAATTGCCATTCCAGCTGTGCTATATCTCTGCCTCCAGATAATGTGTGTGTGTGTCTGTTTTAAATTTGCTTTTAGGGTCACATCTATTGATGCTCAGGAATTACTCTTGGCTCTGCAACTCAGGAATTACTCCTGGCCGTGCTCGGTGAACCCTATGGGAGCAGGGGATCGAACCCGAGTCAGCTGCATGAAAGGACAATGCCCTCTGCACTGTACTATCGCTCTGGTTTTCAAATATCAAATACCATGAAAATACATCCAATAGCCTGTGAGTGTAATAGATAAATATTTATTTACGAACTGTTATGTAAGGGGACTATGGTTAAGCCTCTTCAAACTTTAATTTCCCTTCACAATTTACAAGGAGGGCTCTTTCTACACAAAGAAGGCAAAGTACATGGGGAACTGCAGCCAGTTTATTATAAATTGTTTGAGTACAAAAAATACCATCACTACATACAGCATCAC